CAATCTCCCCAGCTAACTGATGGCTGCTTGACCCCAGCAAGGGTGGTGATATCAATCCCTAGGCAACAGCACGCTACCAGGCAGGCGGGCAGCGCCGGCGTCCCATCCTACAGGCTGACACAAGGAGCCGCCGGCTGCCGGACGAGAGGCCAGCGTCAGCTCAGTCCAAAGTCAGAAAAGTGCTTCTGTCTTTAAAGAAAAACGGCTCTTTAGTCATCGGCAGCGCGTTTAATGGGCGTTCTCCGCATGACGCGCAGAGTGGCGGCTCTCCTCGCTGCTCGCACCCCCTTGCTGCGCGGAGCCGGGGGGGCCCTGCTCTTTTCCAAAGGGCTCAGAGTCCGCAGGGGTGAGGCATGGCTGCGACACACAGCGCCTGCGGTGGGCAGGGTTGGGGTCCACCTTGTGAAAGCTCCCTGCGGGAAGGAAACAAAAGAGGGGTCACGGTTTGTTTCACAGCAGCCGTTCCCCATGAGAAACCAGCATGATTTTAGTGGAACCACCCCCCTGGGGCCAGGAGAGTCATTGGCCCAAAAAGGGGAACATCTCTGCATGTGTGTGCATGTCGCTCACTCAAACACTGCCACACAGATGCTCTTGCAGTTCGGAGCAAGGCAGGGTTCTGGCCTGTGTTGGAATGAAGCTAAACAGCTAACTCACAAACCCAGGAACATATGGCCTCTTATTGACTAAAAGACCGATGCAGCTGTCCCCGGTGCATCAGAAATTAATGTGCTGGGTGACGATTGCATAGCCTGTTCCCCAGATATCCTGCCTGATGAAATGAGGCCAGATGAACATTACCCCTCTGGGGTCCCTTTCTGGGAACACTGTGAGTTTTGCTGACAAGCGTTGGCAGCGAGCGACACGCAGATCTGCACGCACGGCGTCAGGGAATCCAACGAGCAGCTTTGCCCGCACAAGCATTTGCGCTGGAGATGGTCGCCCAGGACCCGTCAGAGAGCAGGAACCGGATGGCACCGATCTCATCGCCACACGACTGGAATGGCACAGAAAGCGCGATTGGCCCGGCAGGGGGGGTGGGGGAAAGCACCCCCCCAGCCGATCTTCCCCGCAAACGGTTCACTCGGCTCAGCCTGCAGAGAACTCACTTGCCTTGCTTCACAGTTGATTCTTCTCTCCCATCGGTTTTAGGCTGGATTAACTCCACTGCGTCCAGCGGAGCGTGCCCTGAATTCTGCCGGGGGAGAGGGAGAGCCGCCTCCGGCCCATTACATTCCATTTCAGCGCATCAGCCTGTTACCACCCCTCAGTCTCGGGGGGTTTCTATTATGCAGATGGATTTAGTGACGCCCCTGTGATCCCCTGCCACCTGCTCCGTATTGTGACTCCTGCTTTACAGGTTCCCTCCCGTCTCTGTGGACACAGATTCGGGGGGCTGCCGCCTTGCAATGCACATCACAGCCAGTATTACCCTACTCGGGCTAAAGGGGTTTGCTCTCCCGGCTCTTCCCTCCTGCCCCCCATTTCATGCCGTCAGAAAACGAAGGCGTTTTCCATGTTCTCCTTTCCTCAAGGTCATTCATATCCCTGCGAAACACAAGGGACTGAGATGCCAGTGTTGGTGCCTCCCACGTTCCTTCTCCCCATCCTGAATGGTATTTAGCCTCCGCATTCTGGTCCTGGGTACTAAGCCAGTAATTCACCCCTTTCAATCGCCGTCCCAAAGTCACCCCGTGCCGGGGTCACTTCTCAGCACCGTGCCGGGATTGAACGGCCGGGCTGGACCTTTGGGTCTGTTTAGTCTGCAGAAGCGAAGAGTGAGGGGGGATTTGGGAGCAGCCTTCAACTTCCTGAAGGGAGGTTCCAAGAAGCTGGAGAGAGGCTGTTCTCAGTGGGGACAGATGGCAGAACGAGGAGCAATGGGCTCAAGTTGTGGTGGGAGAGGTTGAGGTTGGATATTAGGAAAAATTATTTCCCTAGGGGGGCGGTGAAGCACTGGGATGGGTTCCCTAGGGAAGTAGTGGAGTCTCCATCCCTAGAGGTGTTTAAGTCTCGGCTTGACAAAGCCCTGGCTGGGTTGATTGAGTTGGGTTTGGTCCTGCCTTGGGCAGGGGGCTGGACTTGATGACTCCTGAGGTCTCTTCCAGCTCTAGGATTCTATGACGTTGGAAGGGGGCAGACCCCTAGCTCCATGTGCTGTTTCTATGCTGCCGTCAGAGCCTGTTGTGCCGGCTGCTTCCCCACCCCACCTCTCGGCTCAGTCGTATCCTCAATGCATTGGAGCAAATTCATCAGGCATGACTCACGGACCTTGGCTGGGTGAATCTCTGCAAGATGAAATAAGACAAATATTGTGCCCATCTATAAAAAGGGGAATAAGAACAACCCAGGAAACTACAGACCGGTCAGTTTAACGTCTGTCCCAGGGAAGATAATGGAGCAGGTAATTAAGGAAATCATATGCAAACACTTGGAAGGTAATAAAGTGATAGGGAATAGCCAGCATGGGTTTATGAAGAACAAGTCATGCCAAACTAATCTGATACCTTTCTTTGATAAGATAACGAGCCTTGTGGATAAGGGAGAAGCGGTGGATGTCATATACCTAGACTTTAGTAAGGCATTTGATACGGTCTCGCATGATATTCTTATTGATAAACTAGGCAAATATAACTTAGATAGGGCCACAATAAGATGGGTGCATAATTGGCTGGATAACCATAGTCAGAGAGTTGTTGTTAACCTCTAAAAATTTGAAATGTAGGTCAGACCCCTTTGGAAATCTTAGATGTACTCTGTGGACCCCCATGTTGTCCACAGATCACAGTTGAAAAATCACTGTTCTATGGCAACAATGACCTTTTACAGACCCTCATGGACATAGTCTGTGGACGACATGGGTCCACAGGCCTGAAATTGAAAAACACTGGCCTGCACCATTAATGACCCAAGGGAGCCTTATTCTTGAACCTCATTGAAATTTCTTTACATAGTTAAAGAATCTATACTATAAATATTACTGCATCAGAAATAATTTCTGGTAAGTCTTTAAAGTCATTGAGCCAAATTGACTTTAGATACTTGCACACAGCACACTGAATTCAGTGAGAGTTGTACTTGTTAATGTGAAAGCAGGATTTGGACTTTCCTCTTGCGGTATCTATGAGACAATGTATGTGTGCCTGTATCTATAGTGTAGACGCTAAATTCCTTGTATCTTTGTAAAGTAGCCACACTATAAAGCCCTGTATAGACAAAGTGAAAACTGTAGTAGGATACTATGAAGCAACTCCATGGAATATTTGCAATTTCGTAAAAGAAAGGATTTAATGTTCTCCCTTCATTGCTGTACTTTGTAAATTAAATAATCTGGTAATATAAAAATGTATATAGGTACTAGTTCTAGTTATATCTGAGACTAAAAAGCCATTGAAAGTTGTGTTGTGAATGTAATACTATAACCATTTTGAAAGTCTCAGAGAGGTAGCCATGTTAATCTGTAACTAACAAAATTTTAAAAACAACAATGGTCCTGTAGCACCTTAGAGATCCACATGGGTGGATCCTTACAGCTGCTCACAACCCAGCTAAAGTGAAATGTGGGTTCTTCTGCCCACAGATAATATGGCAGGGCTAAGCTGTTAGTGGACTGAGGGCAGATCTACACTGAACCTGGAAGGAAGGCTTAAGGTACACAACTGCACCTGCTGTTCTTTGCCCTACTGGGTTTTGAAAGGGGGGCGGTGCAGGGAATAGTGGAAGGGCCTCTCTGTAGCCCAGGGTACAGTCCCAGGGCTACCTCCGCTGAGTCCTGAAGGGGGTCCACCGGCCCGGTCCTTGGCCTCTCTGATGAGGCTGCCAGCTGGAGGTTCATTTACTGACAGTAACGAAAGGGATTTCCTTTTGGCTGCTGGGAACTGGACAGAGATCGCAGGTGGGAAGAGACGGCGACAATTTCTGACTGACATTGATCAACTGAGCTCGGGCCAAAGGGTCTTCCGGCTGCAAACTCTTCCAGCCGCCGATTATTATAGTGTCCAGCCCCCGCCCCGAACCCCTGGTGACCACGGAAGCTCCGAGCGCTGCTTGGACGGGGCCAGGGGTCTCTCCCGCTCGTTCTAAGCCAGGAAGCTCAGAAGGCCCCGCGCTTTGAAGCGCCCTGGTCAGTCGGCCCTGCAGCAGCCAGCCCAAAGGGAGGAGGCCTCACCTCTGCCCTGCCTGGCCTCGCGGCACCGCAAAACACACCAGCATTCCCCAGGAAGGGGGCCGTATGCATCAAAGAAACACCCCCCTGGACGGCACGTGGGTGTCAAACCCACAAGGGGGTTAATGGGGCCACCAGCATTTCCATGCTTGCAGCTACAGGCCGCCCTCTGCGGCGGAGGTCCCGCAGGCTGGGGGCCTGGCCCGTCGTCCCAGAGGCTGGGCAAGCGCTCCAGGAGAAAGCGGGGCAGGAGGGGAGTTTTCCAGACCAGCTAGAGCAGGGATGAGGAACCCAAGGCCCGGGGGCCACAGCCAGCCCCGGCTTGCCCGGCTCTTCCCCCCCAGAATTGGGGAGCCCACACTCCAGCCCCTCTCACTGCCCCCTGGCAAAATCTACCAGCCTGGGCCCCCCCGGCTCTGGTGTGCGAGGGAAATGTGGGGAGCGTCTTTCTGCTTCTCAGCAAGGGGCCACGTCAGTGAGGATTTGGGGGGTTTTTACTTGTGTGCGGCCCCCGCCCCTGCGCTAGATGGCGACTGTGGGAGGGGGTTCTGTGGCAGACCAGCTTCACGGCGGGCGTTGGGCTGGTGTCTGAAGGATTCAATGTTTCCCATGCAGATTGAATGCGGCTCTAACTCACCCAGGGGACTGAGTCTGGAGAGGATACGGGTACCCGTGTCCCTAGCGAAGGGGCAGTGGCTGACTCGGGTTCAACCCTGTTTCCTCTTATTGCAGCAACCCATCTTGGCTCCCTTCCAGGAACCGAGGGCCCCCCCTCTCCAGCTCCTTCCTGCGCCAGGGACTCCGCCGCGGTAAAACGTGTGTTTTGTCTCCTCAGACAGCCCGTCGGCTCCCGTCAACGTCACCGTCAAACATCTGAAGGCCAACTCGGCCGTCGTGACCTGGGATGTGCTGGAGGATGAAGTGGTTATTGGATTTGCCATCTCCCAGCAGGTATCCTCTGCATTTCGCCCCCCTCCTCTGCACACGGGTTGGGGCCCCCGCAGCTCTGCCGGCAGGGAGGAAAGGGGAAACTCGGGATGTGTCAGGGTGCAGCCGGCCCGGCCCGCAGCTCTCCCAAGGCTCCTGCAGGGCTCTGAATCAGCCTCTTTGTTCACCCTGACCCGGTTCCGTGAACGATGCCCAGACGCGTACACCCGGGGACAGAGAACGGCCCACTGACAGGGGAGGGTGACGGTGCCAAGCAAGCCCTTGTCTTCATAGCAAAGGGGCTGAGCAGGGGCATTGCTCCCTTCTGGAGACCGGGGAAGGGACAGGCCGGTGGACTCTCCAACCTGTCCCCACCCCAAGCCTCCCCTGCCCATCCTCCACCCCACCTGCACCCAGGACTCCCCCATCCATCTCCCCCCATCCCCGCCCAGCTCTGTCACACCTCAAGGCAGGGAAAGCCCTTATAACGACGCTCAGGAACCTGCTCAGGGGCAGAGGGGCTGGGAGTTTTGCTGCAGGTTTCACTGAGAGCAGGGGCGGGCCGAAGCATTTCATGCCACCGTGCTTCCAGGGCCCACCGGTGACGAGGCAGAAAGTGCGACCTGCCCGAGCTAGCGTCCGCCCCAAATCTCAGCACTAGCTCTGGCCCCCAGGACGTGCAGAGCGAGAACTGTCAGCTGCCGCCGTGTGGGGAAGGGGAGAGCGGGTCTCTTGAGAGCCAGCGCGGGGAGGTCGCCGTTTCACTCCTCCAGGCCGAGAGTCACCTGTTCGGGGGCCAGCATGAAGCACAGGCCCCACAACGTCGCTGAGACCTCCCGGGGACATTCAAGGGGCCAAGGCCTCGGGCTGGGCTCTGCCCAGGGGGAATTTCACCCAGAAGCCCGGAGCTACAGCTGCTGGGAGTGGAATCTGTGGCTCCTGGTCTGTTCATAGAGGCATAGAATCAGAGACACTAGACCGGGAAGGGACCTCGAGAGGTCGTCAAGTCCAGTCCCCGGCCCTCGCGGCAGGACCAAGCACCATCTAGAGCATCCCTGACCGGCCTCTGCCCAACCTGCTCCTCAATCTCTCCAGAGATGGAGATTCCACAACCTCCCTGGGCAACTTATTCCAGTGTTTCACCCCCCTGAGAAGTAGGAAGTTTTTCCTCATGTCCCTCCTCAACGCCCCTTGCTTCTTGTGAAGTTACACAAGCTGCAGCAAGCGAGCTCCCGGGAGACGGAGCGTGTGACCGGCGTTCACGCCCTGGGCCTTAGGGGGAGGACACACTAGAGAGCGCCAGCGGCTGCACCCTTCATGCCACCAGCTCCAAATCTCCGTGGACTGCATGAAACGGAGGCAGCCCTGCTCCGACAAGCCTTCGCTAAGTCGCCTCCTCTACAAATCCTGGCCCAGATCCCTCCAGGATCAACCAGGTGTCTCTCCGCTGAAGTCAGTGGGGTTACGCTTGTGTCCGTGGTGGGGGGGCTGGCCTGTCGGATGAGCGAGTGGCCGTTCCTCGGTGCCTGCTTGCTTAAGCTGCTGGAGCTGCTCTCGCGGCTCGAGGCACCTGGGTGATCCGAGCAGAGCACGTGTCTTTCCTCCTGTGCACGGGCCGGGGGAGCGTTATGTGGAGGAGCTGCCCGGGGCCCTGGGGGGGATGGGAAGCATCACCCAGACACAGAGCCCTGCCTGAGCGCCTGTGCTTTCCTGCCTTGGCCTTGCAGAAGAAGGACGTGCGGATGCTGCGCTTCATCCAAGAGGTGAACACCACCACCCGCTCATGCGCCCTCTGGGACCTGGAGGAGGACACGGAGTACATCGTGCATGTCCAGTCCATCAGCATCCAGGGCCAGAGCCCGGCCAGCGAACCGGTCCTCTTCAAGACCCCCCGGGAAGCTGAGAAGCTGGCCTCAAAAAATAAAGGCAAGTGGGGGCAAGATGCCCAGATGCGTGGGGGGCAGGGGATGCTTGGGGAAGTGAGGGACAGTGCCTGGTGCGTCCGAAAGGCAGGCCAGCCGAAGTAACACCCATTGCAGTCAGCAGCCTCAGACTACAGAACTGCAGGCGGCAGCGGCCCGGGGGACGTGCAGAGGCAGCACGTCGGCGTCCCGGGACTCTTCCCCTACGCGTTACGCACAAGTCCTGGCATTTCCGGGACCCTTCCCAGGGGAGAGTTACTGTCCCATAGGAGCGGTTGGGAGCCCAAAGCGAAGGCTTAGGAGCTGGCGGAAATACTGTGACGGGGACACGTCTCTGGTAGGTTCAGCGCCCTGAGGCAAAAATAGAAAGTTAGCGAAAGTGTTTGAAGATTGCATGGTGGGGTCAGACTGGAGGCAGCTTGGGAGGGGGGTGCAGGAAGGGCCACCAGAAGGGCAGGGAGGGGGAGCGGGGCACTTGCCTCATGCTACCAAGAGCCACCTGTGGGTCAGACGCACCGGTGGCCGTGACCTTACTTGCCCTTGAAAGTCACTGGCAGCGGGTGCTGCCCCCGCCCTCTCTCCCCACGACTGGGGGGCGTGCAGGGACCGAAAGGAAAGGAACAAGGGCCAGACTGGAAACAGGATGTGAGCTAAAACCCTCCTTCCGTCCCACTGCCCCAGGCCAGCCAGCCCCTCGGGCCAAACCCTGAGCGGCGCCGCTCCTCCAGCTCCCATTGGCCGGGCAGGGCGGGCCGCGGCCAATGGGAGCTGCAAGTGGCCGTACCTGCGGGCGCGCCGGGAAATAAAGTGCTGGGGGTAAACCTCGCGG